TTTGTTGAGTAAAAGTGGGGAGAGTAGACGTCCTTGTCTTGTTCCAGACCTTAGAGGAAAACCTTTCAGCTTTTCACCATTAAGTATGAAGTTAGCTGTGAATTTGTCATGTGGCCTTTATTATATATATAATATAGTATGATATAATATATATAATAAAATATATATATATATAATATATATACATATAAGGGCTTGGGTTTGTGGTTACCATGAGGTTCATATATGACATACTCAGCAGTCACCCAAGTTCAAACGCATTCGAATAGCATTACGTTTTTACTGCCTCTTCTCCATGTTTTATGTATATGATATCACATACTATATCTTTTATTCTATGATTCCCTTATATATAATTTTTAGATATAATGGATTTTATTTCTTTTGTCTTTTAACCTTCATAGTAGCCTTTAATTGTAGATTGGTCTACTACCTTTACTTATGTTTGCCTTTCTCAGTGAAATTTTCTCATCTTAGAATATTCCTACTTTTAGTTATGGTGTTTTCTTTCCTGCTTGAAGAAGTCCCTGTAAAGCTGGTTCAGTGGTGGTGAATTCCGTAACTTCTGTTTGTCTGGCAAACTCTTTATCTCTTCTTCAATTCTGAATGATAACCTTGCCAGGTAGAATGTTCTTGATTGCAGTTTTTCCTTTTCAACATATCATGCCACTCCTTTCTGGTTTGTAAAGTTTCTGCTGAAAAATCAGCCAAGAGCCTTACGCTGTTTCCCTTGTATATAACTCTGTGCTTTTCTCTTGCTGCTTTTAAGATTCTCTCTTTATATCTTCAGTCTTTGACATTTTTATCATTATGTGCCTTATACTGGGCCTCCTTGGGTTCATTTTGTTTGGGGCTCTCTGTGCTTCCTGGGCCTGTATGTCTGTTTCCTTCCCCACATTAGGGAAGTTTTCAGCTATTCTTTAAATTAGTTTTTCATAACTTCCTCTCTCACTTCTCCTTCTGGGACTAAAACGTGAATATTAGTACATGTGGTGTTGTCCTTGAGGTCCCTTAACCTATCCTCAGTTTTTAAAATTCTTTTACTTTCTGCTGTTCAGCTTGAGTACTTTACAGTTCCTTGCCTTCCAGATCAGTAATCTGTTCTTCTGCATCCTCTAATCTGCTGTTGATTCCCTCTAGTGTATTTTTCATTTCAGTTTTACATTCTTCAACTCTGATTAGTTCTTTTTATATTTTCTCTTGGTTGAAGTTCTCTCTCAGTTCATTCACTTCTCTCATTCCAGTGTGTATTTGTATAACCATTACTTTAAGCTCTTTATCAGGTAGATTGTTTAACTTCATTTCATTTAGTCCTTCTGAAGTTTCATCTTGTTCTTTCATTTTGAGTATGATCTTTTGTCTCATTTGGTTTGACTTTCTGTGTTTGTTTATCTGATTAGGTGAGACAGCTACCTCTCCCAGTCTTAAAGGAATGGGGCCTCATGCAGGAACATCCCCTGGGTAGACAGTGTTTGTCTGGAAGTATTGATGAGCTGGCTAGAGCCCAGGCAGGTATGGTTTGGGGGGTTCTGGGGCCCTCTGTGCAGGGAGCACCATGGGGAGACAACTGGAGGCCAAGCAGCCTTAGGCTTGGAGTGTCCTGGTGTGTACCGTGCAGGAGGTGCCCTGGTAGGGTAGCTGGAAACTGAGCAGGCATGGCCTGGGATTGTCCCAGTGGGTGCCATACTGGTGCCACCTTGGTGCAACTACCAGGCTTGGGCAGGCACATCCATACTTGGGCCAGGTGGCTGCCTTCAGAGGACATCTAGAGCTGCTATGGGTTTGGTCCCAGGGCTCACTGATTTGGCAGGTAGTCTGTTGTACCCAGACTCTGTTTTCTTCCATGCTGTCATGGTGAAGAGTGAACCTAAACAATGGCACTTAGAATCACCTCCAATCCCAGAAGAAGATCCAGCAGTTCTCCCACCAATTGGTGGGAGTCCTAGTGTTAGTGAATGGGCTTCCTTCATTTATAATCTAGTTGCCCTTTAAACTGCATTGTTTTATTTTCTGTGCTCTGTGGCAGGCAAATCTGCATGCAGGTTCCTCAGCGATATCCCACCTATGGCAGGTTACTGTTGTCAGGGCATGGCTCCCATCATTACCGTGTCACTGTCTCTCCTGCTGTTCTCTATGTGGTATCTCTGTTCTTTGTTGTACAGAATCTGTTCACTCATCCCTCAGTTCTTCCTCAGGAGGAATTTCTCTAAATATAGGTGTAGATTCACTGTGTATGTGGGAATAGGTGAATTCAGGCTCTTTCTATGATGCTATCTTGGACCCAATTCTTGATACATGTTTTAATAGGTGTCTCAACATTCATGTATTTGCCTCTGGACTAGTTTTATCACCTGTGTTATCTCCTGTATCACCTGTATTAGGATATAGCCCTAATATTCCTCATATAGTTATCTTAATATACTTCCTTGACAGTATCCTTTGTGTTTTTCTTCCCTTTTATCATTACCCAAATGCTGTTTCAAAATCTTTCAAAATTTCTGAAATGGCACATAATTTTTCATGTTTGGTACTTTTTTCCCCTGTCTTCTAATGTGCATCTTTTGAAAAGGTGTTTCCTTCCATCTCATGTTCTAATGTTTTGTCGCATAAACTGACACCTCTTTTGTCTCTTTGCATTTTCACTTAAGAAATACTGGGCATTTCCTTTATTATGGAACTGCTTCCTGCTTCAGCCTCATCCATTCTGCATGATACCTAGTTTTATAGTTTTATATTAACCATCATCTGAGATATGAAGGCAGGGAAGTGGAGGATGAGGCAAGAGATCAAGATCCGTCCACATAACAACGAAGCTGAGACACTAAAGGACAGGAAGAATGGGGGTGACCCACCTGAAGAAAACCACAAAGAATGAAATAGAGGAATATTGGAGTTAAGATACATATCTTCCTGGGCAGAAAGTCTGAGTATTATAAGGGTGTCAGTGTTCCTTCAAAATAATTCATAAGTTTATTATAATTGTCATCAAATTCTAGTAGGACTTTTTTTTTTTCAATTTACAACTCAAAAACTCATATGGAAGACCTCAAAGAGTATTTGAAGAATAAAGAAGAAACATAATCAGAAATATGGAGGACAAAGCCAGGTAGTAAAACTTAAGAAGACAATAGTAATTATAACAGTGTAGGACTGGCATAAAAACAAAGTAATCGTTGGATCCAAAGACCCAGGAAATTTATCTAACAAGTATAAAGTTCAGCAAGAGATAGGATTCCTCATGAATTAATTTTATTAATTGTATCTGAATTTACTAAGTCTCTAATATCTAAATGAACAAAGGATATAAACAATTTACCAAAGAAATATAACAAATAGCAAAATAAAAGTTTTCTTGGATTGAAGAAATAAAAATGAGAGCAATGTATGTCTGTTTCTCATTAAGTGGGTAAAGACTTTTATTGTTAAAACACCATTGCTATTGATGGTGTAGTGAAACTGATACTCTTCTTCATTTCTGTCATCATCTCCATCCTGTCATTGCCTTACTGCCTCATTCTTGATGCAGTAGTATTGTACATTCTATCCTGTAGCAAGTCATGTTGGCACTACCTTTGAAATATATACAGCATCTAACATCTGTTGCTACTATCCTTGTCCAGGACTCCCAGCCTTCTTTCCTGATTTATTGCAAGACCCCGTAATTTGTTTCCCTGCTTCTTATCTTGTTCTTCTGTAGTTTCCTCTGAACATAGCAGCCAAAATGCCAGTTTAAAATGGAAGTCAAATCATACCATTCCTCTGCTCGCAAGCCATTAGTTGTTTTCCAGCTCAGAGAAAAGCCAACTTCATCATGATAGCCCACAGAGCCTGCATTATTTAGTCTTCCACCTTTCCTTTCTTACCTCAACCTCTGTACTGCCCCCTTGCTTTCTCTGCTCAGCCACCTGAGCCTCCTTGTCATTCTTATAGTAAATCAAGCATGCTCCCACCTCAGGGCACTTATGGTTACTGTGCTGAGATGACATAGCCCAAAATACCCCCTCTGCCTGCTCCCACTCTTCTTTCAGGTCTCTGTTCAGACGTCAGTGAGGTCTTCTCTGACTACCCTTTATAACACAGAACCTCCCATCCTTTCTAAACCTTGCCTTGCTTCATTTTTCTCCATAGCACATATTATCATCCAAGTTATATGTTTACTTACATTTTGGGTTTTTTACCAACTAGACCATAAGGTCTATAAGGACAGGGACTTTTTTATTCAGTGCCATATCCCTAGCACTTAGCAAGTTCTTGGCACACAGTAAACCTCAATCTTTATTAATTGAGTCTTTTTTGGAAAGCAACTACAACCTGCTTAAAAAGCCATTTTTTTTAATAAGGGAAGGATTCATTAAATTCTATCCACTTGACAGAATGATATCTGCATGGAAGGGTCTGAGAGGATGGGATCAAGAGCAGTAGTGAAGGGTTTTTTTTTTTTCTCTCTTAGATAGTAAGAAAAGAGAAGATAATAGGAGAATATTTCCACATTTAGAAGAAGTTGCATGATCAAGAACAAGTACTACTTATTGGCAGTCTTTAAGAAGACTAGGTTGATGAATGAAAATGTTAGTGCAGAGCAGTAGCAGAAAATGTTATGGGTGGATGGGAACAAATGTTGAAAGTCTTGAAAGTGAGAGGAGGTAGGTCTGCCATGACACACCATAGAGATCAGTAGTGGGAATTCTTGAACAGTGAGGGATGAGAAGGCTGTCTAAATCTAAGCTTCTTAGTGTCATGTAAGGTGGCAAGGAGGGTGAGATAAGAAATGCCAACTGGGAGTCAGTTTTAACAAGACAGAGTTGAGCTAATACTACTATAGGTGTAAAGACTGTAGGGTGTGATGAAATAGAGTTATGAATCAAAGATAAGCAAGCAATGATGTGGTATAGAATAAGGCTTGGCGATTAACTGCATATGGGATGCAAAGGCGGAGGAAATAAAAGGTTCAGTATTAAGAAATCATATTTCCTTTTAATGATTTTCTCTTTTCATTATAGGTTTCTCTGTCATTCACAGAAAAAAATGGATCATTTAAACATTTGGAAGACTCAGTTATCACAATACTTCTATACTACCAACTAAGACTTAGGACAGTAAATTTATGACAATTTCTGCATCATAGAACTGCTGAAGAACTAAAAGAATATTCTTTTATCAAAATAATCCTATACTATCATGATATTACTAAATAAAACTAAAAGCACAATTATTAAATTATAAGACTTGCTAACACAAGCAAACATGTGCAATAGCTACTGTATCTTGACAGTTACCAAACCTCAAATTTAGATGGTTTCCCTTTGTGGGGAAGGTCATTATATTTGCAAGAAACCACTGAACATTGTCATCAAATGAGTATCATTTAGGAGAATTTACTTGAAACTAGTTCTAGAAAATCTAAGCCCCACCACTGAGTGGATTTGATATTATGGCAGCAACTTACAGACTAGTGGTTAGTACTGTGAACCACTACAGCAGTGTGGTGATAGACCGGCGTTTTGAACAAGCTATACATTATTGCACTGGAACCTGTCACACCTTCACACATGGAGTTGACTGCATTGTGGTACATCATAGTGTTTGTGCAGACCTCTTGCACATTCCTGTGTCTCAGTTCAAAGGTGTGGATCTGGACTCTATGTTTCTGTCCCATGAAAATGCATTTTCCTCAGCTGAAGGTGACTATCCCCAGCAAGCCCTCACAGGCATTCCCAGGGTCAAGAAAGGATCTACATTTCAGAACATGTGTAACTTAAAGGACATTGCAGGAGAAGCAATCAGTTTTGCCAGTGGGAAAATAAAAGAATTTTCCCTTGAAAAACTCAAAAATTCTAACCATGCAGCTTACAAAAAGGGAAGGAAAGTTAAGTCTGACTCATTTAACAGGAGGTCCGTTGACTTTGACTTGCTCTGTGGCCATTATAATGATGGGAACTCCCCATCCTTTGGTTTACTCCGGAGTTCCTCGGTTGAGGAAAAATCTTTGTCCCATAGAAACTCACTTGACACAACCCTGACTTCAGTGCTTCTTCACAACTTCTCTGAAGAAGATCTGGTTACTCAGATTTTGGAAAAACATAAAATAGATCATTTTTCTTCAGGAACAGACATAAAGATGTGCTTGGACATCTTGCTGAAATGCTCTGAGGATTTGAAAAAATGCACAGATATCATAAAACAGTGCATAAAGAAAAAGTCAGGAAATAGCCTCAATGAAGGAAATGGCAATGATGCAATTTCTAACTCTGAAACTGTCTATATGAATGTAATGACAAGGTTAGCATCCTATCTGAAAAAGCTACCTTTTGAATTCATGCAGTCTGGGAATAATGAGGCTATTGATTTAACAGAACTGGTCAGCAGTATGCCTAGTTTACAACTGACTCCCTTCTCCCCAATATTTGGCACTGAGCAGCCCCCTAAATATGAAGATGTTGTCCAGCTCTCAGCCCCTGACTCTGGACAGTTTCAGACTGTGGAATTGCAAGATGACAAGCATGGTTCTATGAAAACAGACACTGTAAAATCCATTCCAAACAACTTTACAAATTCCTTATATAACTTAGAGATAAACGATCCCAGAACTCCAAAAGATGTCCAGGTTCAATCACAGTCATTAATCATGAACCCTTTAGAAAATGTTTCTTCTGGGGACCTAATGGAAGCGCTTTATATTGAAGAAGAGTCAGATGGAAAGAAAGCATTAGATAAAGGACAAAGGATAGAGAATGGACCCAGTCCAGAGTTGCTAAAGACAAATGAAGGTAGAGCAGACTTTTCAGATAATGGTATTCATCTTAAAAAATGTCCTGCCTCAATGCAAAATGAAACTGGCAAGATATTTGAGAAGACAGTTGTTAACCTACCTGAGGAAGATTTTAAATCAAAACTTCCTAAAGTTGAAGACGGAAACCACAGAAATGTTATGAGTCCTAACAATCAGGAAGAGATTGATAAATTGTTAATGGATTTGGAATCTTTCTCACAGAAAATGGAGACCTCTCTAAGAGAGCCACTTGCCAAAGGTAAAAGCTGTAACTCTCTAAATAGTAGTCAGTTGACTAGTGAGCTCCCTGTGGCTCTTGAGCCAAAATCTAAAGTCTCTTCCCCTACAGAAAAAGTCTCACCTTCCAGTCTAACAAGGATTATTGAAACCAATGGACACAAAATAGAGGAAGAGGATCGAGCGCTCTTACTGCGAATTCTAGAAAGCATTGAAGACTTTGCACAAGAACTAGTTGAATGCAAATCAGGCAGAGGGAGCCTATCACAAGAAAAGGAAATGATGCAAATTCTACAGGAAACCTTGACAACTTCCTCCCAGGCCAATGTATCAGGCTGTAGAAGTCCTGTTGGTGATAAAGGCAAAGATACTACTTCAGCGGTTTTGATTCAGCAGACCCCAGAGGTGATCAAGGTAAGACCCAGTAATCCTGAGTCCTGAGAAGTCTCCAAAGAAATCTTTTAATGTTTGCAAAATTTATAACCAATAAGTGTTTTTGTTAGCCATTTTATGTTCTACCAAAGCTCCTGCCTTACACTAGGCATGGTATAACTCAATTCAGTGAAAAAAAACCAAACAAACTTGAGAAGCAAAGGCTTTAGAGTAAAGCCAGGCTAGTTTCAACTGTTCTCCCACACCCTTCATCTTCTTCTTAGCTCTGTGACGAAAGGGAAGTTACTTAGCCTTAATATCCTCATCTATATAATGGAAATAATAAGGATCAAGATAACTGATATGAAGCACAAGCAACGTGCTTACACAAAGTAGCATTTAATATTGGTCTTCATTCTCCCAATTCAACCAGTAGACCAATCATTAATGCATCCCTCTGTAGACTGTTAAGGTGCAGTGTGGGGTACAAAAGAAGAGAAGACATCATCCTTAAAGAACTTAAAATCTAGTTGGAGAAACAAAACTAACATACTGGAAATAGTACCTGAACATGTACGTACTTCTCTGAAACTATTATTAGTGTAATAGGTCTTCAAAGAAGTTAAAAATTATAGTATATAAGATTTGTTTTTTCATGCATGTGAGAATAAATTTCAATCTAGAGTCATAGGAGAAAAGTATTTTCAAACGCTTTGAATCTGCCCTGCTACTGATAACAATGCTATCTCTCCATTTGTATGTATGTGTGTATGTCTTAGTGCAACAGGATTATTTCTTGTCCAGCTTGGTTTGACAAGAGGTTCAGCTCCACGTCACTCAGGGACCCAGACCAATGGCCACTCTCATGTTCCTACAACTACTCCATTGTCCTTTCTGGAATATGTGGCTTATGAGTTCACTGAGGAAAGGGCAGAATGGGATGTTGCTTTTAACTGCCTTGTCCTGCACGTGATATACTTCCCTTCTGTCCATAGTCCAGTGACTCCAGCCTAAAGACCAAGAAATATAGGGAAGCACATAGTATATTTGGTGAGCACTATTTCCAGCACATGAATGCATACATGTCATTAATATTTAACACATATGAATTCTGACATAAAGCCAAATGAGCAAAGCAAGTTGTAAAATATGAATTAGAGATACATACATTTGTTCAAAAGTATGAAGAACTACATGGATACACCAAATACAGGAAAAGTTTTCTGACTCCTGGTCTAAATATTATTTCATGGTAGATTAGCAAAACAGATTTTTTTATAAGGTTCAGTATGATATTTTGTTAAAGGCATTGGACATCTTAGAAACATCGTTAAATATCAATAGCTGTGAAAAAATATAAATATATAAATATCAAAACTACCAATAGTTCATGACAGTGTACAAACAGAAAAATAAATAAGCCCAGAGTTAAAATTCTTCCTCATGAATTCTTATCATGGGTTCCAGTCTACATAGCTTTTCATCCTTTTCCTCCCCAGTCATGACCTATCTCTGACTTTCCTACTTAAAATTTTGGTTCATTTTCATCCTATGTCTTACACCCTGTTCTTTTTCACATAAACTTTCTCACTTTGACAAGTTATCTGTATCACTGGCTAGCAAATGAACATCCAATACATGGTTTTTTCACAAAGCCTTTCAGTGACAATGCTATAGATTCTAGAATAGCTGAGGCAAGGTAACTGATATGAAGCACAAGCAGATGGGCCTGAAAGTGAGTTGAAGAAGAATAAGAGAACAGCTTGTGGAGGAGGGGAAAGAAGGTGTGGCTGAAGTCTCAAACAGTTCCATATTTATGAGTGGATGAATTACTAAGGACGTATTTTGTTATGGGAGATAAACATAAGCAAGTTGTAAAATATGAATTAGAGATACATACATTTGTTCAAAAGTATGAAGAACTACATGGATACACCAAATACAGGAAAAGTTTTCTGACTCCTGGTCTAAATATTATTTCATGGTAGATTAGCAAAACAGATTTTTTTATAAGGTTCAGTATGATATTTTGTTAAAGGCATTGGACATCTTAGAAACATCGTTAAATATCAATAGCTGTGAAAAAATATAAATATATAAATATCAAAACTACCAATAGTTCATGACAGTGTACAAACAGAAAAATAAATAAGCCCAGAGTTAAAATTCTTCCTCATGAATTCTTATCATGGGTTCCAGTCTACATAGCTTTTCATCCTTTTCCTCCCCAGTCATGACCTATCTCTGACTTTCCTACTTAAAATTTTGGTTCATTTTCATCCTATGTCTTACACCCTGTTCTTTTTCACATAAACTTTCTCACTTTGACAAGTTATCTGTATCACTGGCTAGCAAATGAACATCCAATACATGGTTTTTTCACAAAGCCTTTCAGTGACAATGCTATAGATTCTAGAATAGCTGAGGCAAGGTAACTGATATGAAGCACAAGCAGATGGGCCTGAAAGTGAGTTGAAGAAGAATAAGAGAACAGCTTGTGGAGGAGGGGAAAGAAGGTGTGGCTGAAGTCTCAAACAGTTCCATATTTATGAGTGGATGAATTACTAAGGACGTATTTTGTTATGGGAGATAAACATTTTTTTAAACAGCAGGAAACTATACTGGTTTAGTAATGCATATAATAAATGATATCTTAATTCTGTGTTTTGTTACCACGAGCAGATGGTACTGTAGTCATTTTGGTCTGTTTTTAGGCTTATGGGACAATAACCTATTAGCTGTTATTCACAGGTTCCAATAATAAACCCTAGTCTCCCATGTCCTTCATTAAAGATCAGATAAGAGTTCATTTTAATAGAATTGAAAAGGAAATTTGATTATTTCTGTGACATACAGCACTTTAAGATAATAGCTGGCATTATAACTGATAACATATCAGTACATATCAGATTTTAAGGAATTTCATACAATTTCTAGAACACATATTAGCAATATACATCTGTACAAATATAATCTAAGGTTTATCATCACTTATTTGACAGTGCTTCACATGTAATTTAACACACTAAGTAAATCTACTTAGTTTAACTGTCTCTTTTGCAGAATGAGAGGCAAATCCCTTGAGATTTTTCAAGGATTTTCAGTCACTTTGAGCTTAGAAAGACACCATGTAGAATTTGATAGAGAAAGTTGTCAAAATGTCAGAAGGTCTGAACATATGACTAAATAGGATCACAAATCATTTTGAAATAATATGTAATTGTCTATTTAAATAGTAACAGTAGAAAATTTTAAAGGCAAGTACAGAAGGTTACATAGTTGTGAACGAAACTTAGCTCTTTTAATATTAAGAAGAATGAGTTTTCTTAAGTAATTGAAGGCCTGGTAAAGACATGTGAAGCATAGTAGTAAATTATTCCGGGAAGACACAGAAATCTTTGCTCTCCAGGCATATAACTTATAAGATAAAGATAGACCTTTGTTTACAATTTTCTTATTAAAAGCAGACCAATAATCTAAGAAAACTTTGGGAGAAAACCAAAATCTAATTTTGCACCAGTGTATTTTTATATTAGAACTTTTTTTTTTTTACTTAAATAAATCCATTCCAATCTTAGCCAGCTTGACCACACTTGAAATTCTTTTCTAGAGATTTATTTCCACAAAGTTTGTACAACTTTTTTATATTCATTCATTCAGATTTTATCCTTCTTTTGTTCTATTCTGGAACAATCATTTTACATTTGGACAAAATTACTTCCCTATTTCCCTTACCCCATATTTTTCATGGCTTCCCTTATCCAAAAAGCATGTTCTGTTCTCCTTACCCACTTTTCATACACTGTTATATCCTTCCATTCTTATTAATTCAGTAGTTTTACTTATATATATTTATTAGAATTCTTAACCCTTACACTCCTTAATTCCCAGAGAAAACTAAGAAGTAAGCAATTGTGGACTGGCAAATTTATAAACACATTTCACAATTTCTAGAAGTATTTTCTTCCTCATAAGTTCAGTGTGGCACAAAACATGTTTCCTAATAGACTCAAATATTTTTAGTTCCTCTGTAAAAGGAAGCCAAAAGTGGATAAACTTATGTTCAATAATTAATATTTCAGTATATTATCTTACTTGTAAATGATCTAGATAATCAATGAACACCCATCATTTAACTTACCTCAGTATAATTTTAAAATTTCAAGTTACCAAAAAGATTTTGGGAACTGATTTTAAGTAGGTATACCATAAAGCATAATTATTATTGAAAAGTCCTTTTATAAACTTTTATCTTTTGACTATTTACTTATTCTGAAAAATGTTTAGATTACTCATGAAGATTTCATGAATCTTTAACAGCCAGTCATCTTACTATCTTTCTTGCTGACAAATATTTTATCAGAGATAATATGAGTTTATTCAACTTTTAATAAACCTACATAGAAAAAAGTTATATTTTCACATTATACATAATATTGATATCTCTGATGACATGCCTGTTTTAATTAAACCAACAAACTTAAACTAGCTTTTTTAAAAATTATCCTACATCACATGAAATTGAAAAATATTTGGGTCAGTTTCTATATTTCTGAGAGTATACTTGATTCATATAAATGCTATTTTCATATTTTTTATTTCATATTTTTAAGCAATTAAATAGAGCTCTTTACAAATTAGTCTTGGCAATACCATCTGGAGGTAGAAAAATATCATGCAGCTATAACATGCATACATAAACAGACAGACATAAGCAGAGATCTCACAGCTTTAATTTTACAAAATTTAGCCATGAGACTGGTATGATAATGTAAAACTCACTAGTTATTAAAAGAACAGTTGGATCCAAATTGTGTTCCTGGTAAAAGGGATAAGTTAAGGTTACCTGCTCAGATGCTTAAACTTGTTACTAATATTTGTTGAAAAGACTTTTAAGATTTTTCATTCACCTAGTTTCTAAATAGACTTTCCTTTTTTTTCCCCCTTCTGTTAAGAATTACCTTGGTTCCTAGAGAAGACAAGGTAGAACCTTTACATCTCAAAGGCACAGAGAAAGAATGCAGTTTTCTCCAAGAAGGACT